CTTTACCTAAAAGATAGGTTTTCGAAACAATATAACATGTTTTCTCATGGCGTCTTGTAAAATATAAGAAAAATAATTATGAATACATACTTAGGTAGAATATCACATCCTTGCGTCATTATAGAGCCCATTGTGAGCCAAGCGCAGTTTTTGAAATTCCAAATGTTTTCCAATTCCTCGGGATCTTTATCGCATGGTTGTGGATTTTCCCAATCAGCTGGTGATATTCTGATAAACATAATTTATAATGATCTAATAGTTAAAGTAAACAAATTAATGATTTATTAAAAACGATAAGAACTGATATTTGAATAAATCTTTCATCAGACATGTTACATTATATTATTACATCGAAAATTTAAAATATTTATTCAAGGTCTAGCATCTTGTGATTCTGTTTAATGTCATAGATAAGATTTGAAAGATTTGTCCTGTAGTCTAGAATTACTTTGTTAGATGGCTCGTCATCATCGATTAAAAAGATACCAAAATTGTTTACGTTAGTAATTTAATAATTACCTTGAACAAACAAATAGAACAATAGAGACAACGCAATATGCTGTCGCTATATACATCCATACTTCAAATGTATAAGGATTTAGAAATGAAAACATTCCTGGATCTACTTTCTTCTCTTGCACGTACAGAATACTTATTCCCAAACTCATAAAAGGTACAGAGAAGTCAACAACCTTCTTTCTCTCTTCTGTTATTGTTAAATCACAAACTGCTAAATCAGCTTTCTGTGGAGCATTTCTTCAATTTGTAAAACTGCTATTTGCATTTATTACTTACATTTAATTAATTATATTACCAACCTTATCCAATAAATCTCCAATCAAACCATTCCATTTCTTTTTTTCTTTATCATATTGTCCATAAATATAATCTGTATCATATTTAAATGAATATGTATAATTAAAGTTTTCTTTCTTAAGAGTTTCAAAGATTTGCTTAACCAGGTCAACTGAGAAGCCTTCGTATCTCTCCCCGTCGTCCTCCTCTTCACATTCAAGTGTAGTACATTTTTCTTTTTCATAAAAGTAAGGTTTAGCTTTACGAGATATTACCTACGCAAACGAATTTTCCCATTTCGAATTAAATCAAAGATGTATTAAATTATTGTAAGCGAATTATTCAATGATTAAGAGATTTACGTGGAATATGTTATTTAAAATATCATAAATGTAAATACTTGACTTTGGTATGTTATTTTATCTTAATGTATTAAAAAAATCCCATCAGTAAACACCGAAAGGGATGGAGATGGGAATGGATTTATAACCAGAGTAATATTTCTAAACACATCACTCTATCTCACAAGTCCTTTGGCAGACCTTTTTTCCATCAACCATTACCGCGATTTTTATTTAAAAAAATCAATTACATACGAAAGTGTATTGAGTATAAGAATAGAAATTGAATTATCTTTCCTACAAAAATGTTTTTTTTTTGCCAGCGTCAAGGAGCTACTTACGTAGAAATGTTTTCTAGTTTGCTGATTAACAATGTTGTCGGCATCCGGCCGATCCTCTATTATATTTTCTCCCGCAGAGGACTCCCAATTACCTATTGTTTGCCTTTTTCTTAAGTATATTTCGTTGACGTGTAGAAGGTAGTTTGTCCTTTTACCCATTTCATCAAACTCAATGTTTCCGGAAACTCCAGTTGTTTTTGTCTGGAAATATAAATAAGAAGAATAAACGTTTTGTTATATCAGAAGTGGAACAATTTTACTTTTCAATTATTACTTGAGTTCGTTTTTAAATAAATTAACCTTCAAAATTTCTTGTTGCATCAAACCGCCGTGCTCCCAAACATCTTCAGAGTCGCATGAGAACGTTGGAGGTTTTTGGATAGATATTCTCTTTTCTACAGTTGTAAGAGCTTTCATAACATGGTTTGCTACGTCGTTCATAAGCAACGCCTCTATCTGGAAAATCATGACTGTGAGATTCTATTGCCTAAATACCACACAAGCACAAAACAAAAATATCCAATTTCACTTTTTCAGAGATTAAGAGGGTCGACACTGTTTATAGGTAATTTTGGGTAAATTTACTGTATTAACGTTAACACACCTATTACCTCCAGTATAAGTGTTGTTCAGATTGATGCTCAAAAAAAAGCATTTTCTTTATACGTAGCGCTAATTGAAATAGTTTTTCAATTAGTGCAATTATCGAATTTTTCAGTCATGTATAGAAGATAAGAAACAGTCATACTAATAATTACAAAAATAAATAAATAGGAATTAAAACAAAAAGGGTCCATGTCCCTATTACCGACCCAAAATACAAGGTACGTTTATGTGTTACCTAATACCGACCACTAAATAAATGGAACCGTTGAAGTCAAATAAAAATGCTCGTATACATTGAACGATTTATATAAATGCTCCAACACGGTACAGAAAATTCTCAAACCTTAACAATTATATGTATTCTTATCATGTTACATTCTTAAGAAAGTCGAATTAGTCAAAAAAATCTTATTTATACGGATTTTGTATACCAAATTACCAAAGACCTGCATTGATTATGCCATGATATTAATAAAAATTACCCACTTCAGATATCCTTGATTCTGATAGCCTTCAGATAGCCTTGCCTGTCTAGGATTAGGCTACCCAGTTACAACATGTTTAAAAACATGTGCTCTTTTATATAATGTGGGCTTTATCAGGAAATCTGATGACGGAAGGTCTGCAGGTATGCAGGTATTTTTTAAATCGTTGACTTACGCACATAAACAAGAACTGTACATTTGCAATACAAACACATCTACATTTTTTTATACCACACACTTGTGTAACGTGTAATAGGTCGGTATTGGATGCGGATTTAGGTAGTCGTTATTAGGT